ATATATATATATATATATATATATATCTTTTGGATAAGAAAATTTTCAATTATGTTGTCAAAAAAGTGAGAGCTTAATTAGTTGATGTATTGATCTAATTCCTATGACTAATTAATACATCCAAACAATTTTTTTAGAATAATGAGATTCAAAATAATAATGAATATGATGATCAGATTCAGAACGACTATTGTGTATATAATGATCATGAATTGATGCTCTAGTATAATGTTGGGTGAAAATTTGTAATAAACCCAATAACAAGTCCAACGCAATTCAAACTCAAACAACCGATAGATCTATTTCACTAACTCGTGATTGGAATTACAAAGGAAATTAAGAACTAAAAGGGAAATGAAAGAACACAAGTAGAAGGAAGGAAACTCAGAGAAAGGGGATGAGAGGACTAGACATTTTTCTCAACAATTTACACAAATTGTTCTTTCTCATCCGTCATCCTTTTTAGGAAGCTAGTTGTTAATTGGGTCTGGGTCCCAAATCAACCTTTGTGAAGGCCTTTCAGTTATGTAGCTTCTTCTCGGCTCAATAACTAGTTACGCGATATTCATGTAGGTATCGGCGTTGGGCCGAGGGCTGGTTCATAAAAAAATTCCTAACATCGTGTGTTCTTTAATGTCAATGGTGGATAGTGACCGACCTTCAAGTCGTGGCCCAGAATCTCAATGGATCAAACACAAAATTCCAAACAAAATCAATTAAAAAATCTTATAACCTCGTTGGTCAAATTATAATAAGAATAAGAAAAAAAGAATGGTTTTACATTACATTAGATTATGTGTGGCATTTCCGGTATGTGAAAGATGGTGCTAATCCATGTCACAATCACATCATATGGTTGATTTGCTGCTTTTTTGACAATTACTGTACTAATATTGTCAATTTATACAAGTCAAATAGTCTGAACGCAATTGTAACATCAACTAATTAGTTGGTGTTTTCATAGAAGAGATTAAATAAGCACAAAAGTGAAGAGCTTTTAAGCCCCACTTGATAAGTGACAACTAATAGTTGATATATATGTTGACTACTTTCTACGATACTTATCGAAACATTGCGGCTTTTAATTAACACCAGATACCACCACTTGCCGTAAGCAAGATACTATGATTTTTAACGATAATTAATTTTTAATAATAGTAAGTAATAACTTATGTATCGTTAAATATTATTATTTTTTAGAGATAATTGATACTCTTTGTAAATGTCTCTAAAATCTATAGCACTATTGAATTCAATGACAATTAATTAATATCGATAAGTTTTAACATTTTTTATTAATATTCATATTTATTACAGATAAAAGCTATTTTTGTTATAGTGTAATCAACTCTTTATCTTAGTTATTACCCAATCGTCATGAATAAAAATCATATACTAATATCTAAGTAAAATATGTTTTGAGATTAGTCGTTACCTTGAATTTAAGATTTTCTCTGTTTGCTTTTACACAAATTTGATTATTTCGTTTCGATCCAAGAGAAATTATGACTTTGCAAACATACGTCATTACAAATTACCTAATAATAATAATTCATTGAGTAAAGCAATACGTCAAAATATTCAAAGAAGAGGATGTTGTAGAGATAAGTATAAGAGCAAAAATAAAATTTAAAAGTAATATCCCAGCAAGGAATGTATTAATGTGTAATGCCCTTGCTTTATAAGTTTCCAGTAGGATGAAAGCAAAGTGCTCTGGCGTGCATCTGAAATTAATCCTTAATCATCAATTAATTAAGCCTAATCTTCCATAATGATCTTCAAATTTTAGGATCTCCCTAATAAAATATTATATGTATCAACAAATTAACTGAAGTGTCTTAGCTTTATATAAAGGATCTTTGAGGAAATGGTCACTTATCCCATCATTTATGCCCCTTGGATGCTTCGAAAGAGTCCACCCCCGGCCATATGTCCTCCAATTTAAGGGAAAAAAAGGCCACGATTTTTTACAAGATGGCCTTTTGAAAGACTGTTGTTTAATTTTTGACTTCCGTTTAGAAAAGTTGTGCAAATATATATATACTAGACGAATAATGCCCGTGCACGCACGGGTCATATATTTATCTAGATATATATTTGTGTGAAAAATGAAAATCATTTTTTAAATGTCAATTTGAAAGAAATAATTACTTATGATCTGAGTAGCTAAAGCATTTTGAGTAAATATATATTTACAACATAATATTTATATATACATCACATAAATTAAGATTAACAAGGTACACTATTGTGTGGGAATGAAAAATGACACCAAGAATGAGATAGCCAAATTTTCAACTCTGACATTGTTAGCCGGTATTTTATATATAATTTATACACTAAATTAACACACAAATAAAAAAAATGTCCTTGCCTTTCATTCCCTCAACTCTCTCTTCAAATCAGAGGAGCACGTAAAGCAAGCAATACTTTCCATGATCATGACCTTCTAGTTGTCATAATAATTAAGGACTACTAAAATAATATATATATATATATATATATATATATATATACTGTCACTTACTTTTTTTAAGTTAATTTTTTAAAAAGGACAAATTATATATTTAATAATAATTTAACTTTAAAATACTCATTATAATTTATAAGACATAAATATCTATCACTTATTTTAAATCGGGAGAAGGCACAAGTATCCTCCTACAGTATGACCGAAATCTCAGAGATACACCTTAACTAAACTAAGGTCCTATTACCCCTTGAACTCATTTTATATATAATATTATACACCTTTTGTCTTATGTGGCACACCCCGTGACTCCACACAGTTGAGGCACGTGAGAGATATTTGGATGCCACGTAAGATAAAAAGGTGTACAAAATTACAAAAAAAATGAGTTCAGGGGGGTAATATGATCTCAGTTTAGTTAAGGTGTGTCTCTGGGATTTGGGTCATAGTCTAGGGAGGTATTTCTACCTTTTCCCTTTTAAATCATAAATTCAAATAAAAGTCTTTCTTTTTAAACTTCATCCTAAATTAAATTAGGATCGAAATATGAAATAATTAAAGAATACTCATAATTAAAAGACAGTATAAAAACAAGTATAAATTTTAGGAATCACATAGTTTTAATATGAAATTACAATCTATCCATATTTAGTTTGTAATTACATTAATTCCTGAAAAAAGTAAAATAAACCAGATACATAATTGTAGCTCGGATACATTATAAAATAATTTAGAATTAGGAGAGGACAAGGGATGAACATAATATAGGAATGAGGAATTTGGCATGAAAGCCATCTAACACTGAGATGGCAACCAAAGCCATCTGTAACACATAAACATAATATTGAGAATAGGACTATTAGTTACAATGACAAAACTGTCTTTAATAAAATGAATTTATGACCTAAAGCACACATGTTGATACCCTCACTCTTCTAATATAGTAGAATATATATTGGTCGGGCATTTTAAAAGACTGAATATTTATTATTTATTCGTTATTAATTTGGATTGGTTTTGATCGAAGACAATTGAAAAGTATCATTGTTGGGTTTTATTAAGCTTGTTTGTAGAAGAATACAAAGTGGATCTAGTGATTATTGGAGGTTTGAATTGATTCAAATATATGAAAATTGTTAGGACTGACATTAGAAGATCGGATATCAAATTTATAGTTGATTTGCAACAATTTTGAAACAAAAAATGTATTATTAAAATTTTTCTGTAGCAAATTACGGTGATTGTCATAATTTTGACTAAAATCCCTGACAAATTAGTTACAAAATGTTGAAATGATCCTCGATAACTGTAACTTGTTTTTTAAGAAAAGCTTTTTCCAATATCAAATAATTAAGAAATTATGACATCTAGTGCGTGGATAAATTTTAATATTTAGAAGCCTAACATCGAATAAGATAAATCATGCTTTAATACTATGTAAAATTAGGTTATTAACTTAAGTCTTAACTCACACTTAAAAAAAGCTCAAAAGTAAAGATGATTATCAACACTTATCAGGAGAGTACGTATCTTATTAACTATAGACTTTTTCATTCCTTAACATATTTAAATAGGCTATTTGTGGAAATCAGCAGAAAAAAAATTGTCACACTATTACTGTTATTTACTTTGTTATTTTTTCAGTTACAGATTTCACTTTTTATGGGCAATCACCTAAAGTTTATTTATTTTTTTATTACCTAAAGTTGCCTAATAAAACAAAAGTTTTTTATACTATTTGTGTATCCACTGCTAATATATAAGGCACACCTGTGTCGGTCGACGTGTGTGGTTTCCGGAAATAAAATTTGCGAGGATAATTTAGTCATTTTAGGTTTATTGTGGCTGCTTGCAAATTAAGACTCTTAAAATATCACATGTGTCTCATATATTATTTAAAAAGTATGTTTAAAATATTATAAAAATAACTAACAATAAAATTATAAATAAAATAATATATATTGGGATCGGACTTGTCCGGACTTTTATATCTAGTAGTGTAATATAACATCAGATAATTTGATACTCCCTTGTTTTATTTTGAATTCCTACTTGGATCAAATTCAAAAGTTAGTATCAGCAGATGTTAGTTAAATTCTTGAATGTATTATTTTTTCTACTAGACAACAGTTCAGAGTCTGCTGAAGAATATTAAACTGACCAAAATAAAGACCCACGTACAAGTCACAAAGATCAGAATTCATTAATTCAGCAAAATAAAGAGAAATCATTCTGAGTTTAGTATATTTAACGTAAAAGGCAATACAAAAGGGAAATGTCCAAAAACCATCAGATTATATTACTATTATTATACAGAAGGAAAAAAAACATTCCTTGTTAGTAACTATAATCACACACTGTATCTAGACACAAACTGAGCCAGTTTTGGACTATGTTACTCAGCTCCTTCAAGAATGCCGCCGCACACATGTCAGATCCTCCAAAAATGTATTTACTTTTGGAGAATCTGACAGATGCCTGATGACATTTTTAAAGAGTATGAGTAACATAGAATTTGGACACGAGGATCGATTAATCTTGATTTCTACTTCCCTAGTTCTTACTCAGTCTTGGCAAGACTATTAACTTTCTGATTAGATGTGTTTAAAATGGTGATGAGGGTCAGGTCCTCCTGGACTCACTCGCTGAGGCCACTCGTGTGAGCCATATTTCGCCTTCTCTCTTTCGAATTGTTCCTCCAACGCTTCCCTGGCAATCCTAATAGACCTTATGGGGCGAGCCTCGAGTAATGCAGATGAAAGCAATAGCAAAATAATGCAAGCTAAATACTTGAACTTAGACATTGTATTTATCATTCAAGAATTTGTAACTAGCCAGAGTGCTTCAGAACAGCTAGAGATCAGTCCCATTATATACATTTCTTGTTGTGACTACTCGTAATGTTCGATCATTTTTTTATACATTTGTAGACCTTTAGTTAGAGGAAATTGATTCAAGAAGCATAAAGTTTTTGTCTTTATTTGTATCCAGTAATGTTAAGGCATGAGGTCTGCATTATATTGTCCATTTATGAAATTATAAGTTTATTCTTTCTCAAGAGATACCTAGGAAAATGTCAACCCTCTTTGTGCCAGCTTATCTTAAAAGGTTATAAGTTTGCTTTTTTTGGGCCATGCATAAAGATTTAGTGAGGACCACATGTAAGGATTATGGAGGATGACTTTGATAAAAATAGTGAATATACAGCAGGGAATTCATCTAATTTGAATAGATGCTGATGGGGATAGAATTAAGTTCATTGGCTGAACGGTTTATTATACGTCAACAGCCAATTATAAGCAGATATATACCAAATGGATTGGTCATTTCTGATAAACATGAAACTAATATAGATATAGTGAGCCAAGCAGAAAAAAGAAGAGAGCTTTTTTTAATGCAAAAGCCAATAGGAACTAAGATGAAAACAGCATCTCAACATCAATAGTAAAGTTGTGGATTAGATAAGAAAATTTCAAGATCTTTGTACCATATTATCCGAATTAGGTGTTCAAATAATTTTACAACAACATACCCAGTGAAATCTCACAATTGGGGTAGATAGAGGTGTATGCAGGCCGTAGTACTACCTCGTGGAGGTAGAGAGATTGGTTTTGAAAGACCCTCGACTCAAGTACAGCAAATCAGGTATAGAAAAGAAGAAAACAGTGAAACAACATAACAACTAATAAGAGAAGTAGTAGAAAGGAAGAACAACAACAATAAAATAGTGCAGTAACTAAAACAAAATAAACTTATAATGATAGATATCAAAAGCAAGAACTACAAGAATACGGCTAGTACTACGACAAACACCAACAAGCCTAAGCCCTCGAAAAACAAGACAACACTTCACTACCTTCTAACCTTCTATGTTTATACGTGACCTCCACACCCTCCTATCTAAGGTCATGTCTTTGGTAATATGAAGTTGTGCCATGTCTTGTCTAAATTCGGATAATTTTCTTGTTCAAAATTTAAGACTGTTTTTTCTACCATATCATGTCCAAAGAATAAAAAAAGTCTAACTTTGATAAAGCATGCTGATTAAAGAATGTGATGTCGACAGTTAAATGCAGCCAAAATCACTCTTATCAGCAGATAATGTCTGCCTTCTTCAACTAACATAGACTCAGCATAGCAGGGGAATTGAAATGAAATAAGACTGCGCAGTCAGAATCTTTTACTATAGTATGCTCTAGAAAGTAGGATGTTCATTAATTTATGCACCCCTCAAAGTTAAACTTCAATAAAATTAGAAAGTAGATATATTCTCATTCCTGATAGCCCTGTTTCTCTTGCAAAAAACCTATAATCCTAAGTCGAAAATTTAAAAAATTACTTAACGCATTAAGTGGTCATGTAGGTGAATCCAAGATCTAAAGTAAGAAGTTCAGAATGACCATAGTCTCATTATATTTGTACATTTTAAATATTTTTTTACGTATGCATATATACATAATTCAAGCTAAAAACAATAGAGTTCAATTGAACCTTAAAAACTCGCCTTAAATTCACCTCAATATACAGAAAAGCTTATCAGCTCCGTGATATGGACAGTGTCCTTGTGGCTCCAGTTAACTTAAAAGACCTAGTATTGAAAATTATGTTTACCTAATCTATTAGTTGCCTCCACTCTTTTGACCTAACAATGAGAAACCAACTTTTAGAATGCTTTAACTGCAACCAGTGTTATAGTTATCTGATTGGCATCATACTCTAATAAAGTGAGAGTTGGCATATAATTCTCTCAACAACAAGCCTATAGCCAACGTACGGGTCATCAATCCAGCAGCAAATTTCTGAACCCTGTGTATGTTCTAGGGGGTGAAGGCATACACAACTTATTTTTAAATAGAGAATTGAAATTGTGAAAAGGAAGTGGCGCGACAGTAGGTCAGTAGTAAGGATATCTTCTCTTTATAAATGGGATGGTTAAGCAGAAGCAGCTTATTGTTGTTCACAACAGCTCGAACTAATAGTTCTTTTGCCTCCTCTTGTTTTTTTCTCAGCATGTTGCATATCTGCAAACACAACAAACTATTATTAGCCAGCATGACAGTCTCCAGTCCCATGCCTCAGGTCCAAGCCTCAATGAAGAACAAATTGTTGTTAGCTCAGAGGAAAAGGAGCTAAGTTGAAGACAGTCTCCCATATCATGCCTCAGGTCCTGGCCTCACCGAAGAACAAATTGTTGTTGGTTAGAATAAAAGAAGCTAAGTTGAAGACTGTAGAATTCTTGCACCCCCGTAATGTTTGAACTTTCAGTTATCCACTTGAAAGCATTAAAAAAAGAATAGGCTAGGAGCCTAGGACAGTAATTATTGCATCAACCAATTGGTTTGGGGACACTATTATGTTCCACCAATATAAGAGATACAGTAGCCCACCAACAAAATCAGACATAACAAGTCAAAAATGTCTTGTAGTTCCTCTCTTCTTTTTCTTTGTCAAATTTATGGATGCTTCTTGGACTACTGGGGTGCAGTGAAAAGAGACCCTGCTTTCAAGCATACTGAAATTTTTCACTAAGGTGGAACTCAGTAGCTAGGATTGATACAATGCTAAGGATTTTAAGAAAATTTAAATCCAAAGATATAAACCTAAAGGAACTACTGTAACAATTTCTAGGACCAACAAGGACATGTCAAAATTACCAACAGAAAACAAGTTGAGAGAGAGTGGAATTTTTCTTGTTCATGCAGCCAATATAAAATGGGAAGGTGGTATCATGTACCTAATTCTCAGAGAAGCTTAAAATATGAACTTTTTGTTGTCTGGTTATTTGTTTAGAGTACAAAAATACTGGCTGAACAAGCATTTATCTTTTTTTTCAAAATTGGTGGCAGTGATCACTTCATGAATTTTCAGAATATTTCAAAAGATACTTATACTAAACCAGAAATAGAAAACAAGGAAGAATGAAAAATAGCGGGAAGCACTCCTTACATCTTCAAGATCCTTTGACAAAGTCTGAGCCTTCTTTATGTTGTCCTCATCTTCTATCGCAGAAGGGCTTCCTAACTCTTTGGTGTTCATCCTCGTAGGAACATCACGTAAAGAGATTTGACAATCTTCATATTCGATGGTCTTATTACCATTTACAGAATGATCATGGTCATTAACCTATTAGTGAAGAATGGTGAAGATATTTAAAATGTTGACATGCTTCTAGATTCCAATATAGTGAAACACTTGCAAAACTATGTCAAACATATATTTCTGTTCCTTTTCTACCAATCACCTGTTTGTTGCATATACTTTCTGTACCTTCAGAGGATCCCCTGTAGAATTTTGATGAGTAATCATGCCTACATTCAGCATTGATGAAAAGTTGGAAAACTAACTAATTTTATAGAAAAACCTGCTTCCATTGGGTGATTGTGCAAGACGCTTTGACGGAAGTAGGATCATGAAATCTGAATTTGTCTGCATTAAAAGCTATCACAAATGTCAAAGATGTCCCATAGTGGTTGTGTAACTATGCAGAAAAGTTACTCTTTTTGCAAGGGAAAGTGGTGGAGAAAAGGAAAACAGACCTCTGGTACTTTCCTCTTCATAGACAAGTTAACAGGTGTTTGCTTCAGCGTCTCTTTGGAATTATCTTTGGCTTGTAAAATAGCTTTAAACCCACCATGATGGTCCACAGTTTTTGAGGACTTCAAATTTTTTTGCAACACTGTCTGAGGTGTATCAGGATTTGTACCAAGTTTTCTGCATGTGGAGCATGTGATTGATTGACAGCTTTCAGAAATATGAGAAGGCATATTTTTGAAGAATTTGAAAGAAAAATAGTATTGTACGCTGAAATTTTTAAGCTAGATGTCTCTAGAAGATTCCTGGCAGCTTTAATTGGAAGTGTTTTGTCTCCTTGGCTGAGAGTGTTCTTTGCAGTTGGAATTGGAGCTATGTTCCTTGGAATGGCAATGCTGCATGGGGTGGATGCAGCTATCTGTTGAGTTTTGCTAGGAGGATTTACCCCAGAACTGAAGGAAAACATGCCAAAGATTTTTGGGTTAGAAAATATTTCTATTTTCATTGATCAAGAGAGATATTTGACTGGAATCAAGCACAATATCAGAGCGTTGTATATATGGCTTAGAAATATGGAATTATCATTCATAACAAGTAAGACAGACTTCTAATCTACTGAGACTGCCAAACAATATCTTGTATTACTAATAATTTTGGGTGAAATGATTTCCATATGCAACAAGCATGACTAGCTTAAGAGAAAAAATTCAAATAAATCAGATCAATATATTAACTCTTTATAAAAAAAAAAAAAAAAAAAAAATTTATTAACTCTTTATAGTGCAGGCGTCCAAACAGAAACAATAGTTGCCAAATAAACTAACAAACAAAATCAGCTAAGTAGTCCATGCATGGTGAGGAATAGTCTTATATGCATGTCAAACATTTTACAAGGTGAATTCGATGGCATATCTGGTTGGAAGCATCAATCAGAGGGGAAAAACCTGAAAGTAAGAAGATCTTTACTGCTTGCTTTGCTTTTCTGGGGAGCAGATTTGCCGGTCAACGTTCTTATGTTTTTCGCAGCATCTGACTGGGAGCCCTTGCTAAAGTATTATTATTACGATGACGATGGATTATCAACAACAGAAGTTAGTATTTTTGCAGTTACCATGAAATTACGGTCAGCTAAAGTAAAATGAAACTTGGAAATTAAGCATGATACAAAAAGTAAGTTACCAAAAACTTACATAGAAGTCCCTAAAACTTGGCATCCCTCCTGACTTCCTGTTTGAAGAGGGTTAATCTTTGGCAGAGATCTAGAGTCTGAGGCAGAACCAGCCTTGCTTCCAGTGTCATCATCTTTGTTATCTTGAGATCTGTATTAGATTATATCATATACACTGTCTACAAAATTTCGACTAGTTTATACCATCGGCTTACATTATTTCAGCTGGACGACTCTGTGGTATGGGGCTAATTCTTTTGTTACTAAATGCAGGAACTTTTGTCTCAGTCAGTGATGTTGTTGTCTGCGTCTGTGCTGCAGGTTTAATTGATGGCATAAAAAACTTTGACCTGATGACACCAGTCTCTCTTCTTTTCTCTACTGTCAATTTTTCAGCTACTATTCTGCGACAATTTCAGAGAAAGCAAGTGCACCACAGTATCATAAAATGCATGACAGATACTTATTTTACACCATTCTCTGCAGTAGCTAAGCTCTACAGTTTCCAAGTTAGAAATCCTGGACAGTAATGCTGAATGAATAAAAGGGAGATGGTCTATATTGACCTACTTGCTTAACGAGGATGCAGAAGGCACTGAAGTTGGGCTCTGAATGTTGTTACCGAATTTCATGTCTCGCATTTTTTCTTCGGTAGCATTTGACATACTGTTGGAATGTGTCTCAGTCCTGTCCTTATTGGTCTCCAAAACATGCTTATCACTGTCAAAGTTTCTCCTTTCACTAGCATCTTTCATTGAGGTTGCAACATCCTCCAAAAAGGAATTTTCTAAAACTGACTTATCATAGTTTGTGTCAGAGTCCAAAAGCACCTTTTTGTTTGAAACTGTTCCTACACCTAAGAGACTAACATCCGCAGCCACAGAATTAACATGTTCCTGTAAACTTGAAGAATTATTCCTCCTTGATTCACTCTGTGATATCAAAGAAGATCCCTCCTCTACTTGGCAAACTGTTTCTCGAGTGCTGGTGGATATTTTTTCTTGTAACAAACTTTTTGCTTTTTCCAGTGAAACTTCATAGCCAGCAGATTGCAATTTTAAAATTTCATTGTTGCTCATAGTATGGTTTGAAGATAAACTATGTTTTGTGGTGCCATGACTTTTATCTATGTCAATATGAGAATCAATAATTGAAGTCATCCCGGCCTCTGATGCAGTGTGTTTCTGAACTGTCCCCTCCTCTAACGAACCAATGTCTTTATTCAGATGACTTCCAGAACCTTCATTACCACTTCTCTTAGAAGATGAAAATTCCTTTTCTTGGTCGTTCTTTGCCTTTTCTCTACTCTCCTGGCTTGATCCAAAACTAAAACAATCCTTTTCTTTGTTGTTCTTTGCCTTTTCTCTACTCTCCTGGCTCGATCCAAAACTGAAGCAATCCTTTTCTTGGTTGTTCTTTGCCTTCTCTCTACTCTCCTGGCTTGATCCAAAATTGAAACAATCCTTTTCTTGGTTGTTCTTCGCTTTTCCATTACTCTCCTGACTTGACCCAAACCTGAAATTATCCAACCTGAACCAAACACAGGAGGGGATACTCCACTTAGTTACAATAGAAATACTGAGTCATGTTTTGATGAACTGAAGCATAATTTACGCCTTAGACAAATACAGAGCAGAATATAAAGGACCATCAAAGGTAGTACATACTCAAAATCAAATGAAAAATTGAAGCCATCTCCTTTCTTTTTGTTGACAGCAACAGTGGATTCTTCTTTTGATGTCTCCTTTGATATTTGATCCTTTTTACTTGGGGGATATATATCAAGATCTGACATGTCAATGTTGAAGGACGACATCTTCCCAAAATCAGTATCAAGAGTGAAATCCATATCCCTGAAGAAAGTTCAATGTCAACGTACGCAATATATCATTTCTCCGTTATTCTACATTCTTTAGCTTGTCCTGAATCAAGTCTGGAAAATTGTTTATCAAAAAATACTGCAAATTATAGCATAGAACAACACCGTTAAGAGAGGCAGACAAATAGACTTGCAAGTTAATGACAGAAACCTTAGATCCAAGTACACAATAAAAAGGTAATATACGAGTAAAATAAAAATCATGAATATGAGTATTTGATACAGTAGCTTAGCGAATAAATTAATTATGCAATCAGAAATAGAAACAAGGCCATGCAGGGTTTACTCTTTGTCAAAGTTGAATGTCTTTTTCTTGTTTTTGGATATAGGCCCAAAGTCGAAATCCATTGCATCGTCTTCTCCCATAGACACTGATTTGAACGACTTAAGAAAGTCATTTCCAATATCCAGATCTGTCATAACATAATGTAAACAGTAATTATCCAAGACCTAAGGACATTAACAAATTACTACTGATTTAATAACTGCACTACTCAAGATGTGGATAAACAAAAACTTATTGATAACTCTCTTTTACAAAATTTATGCTTCAATGTAACATTCCCATTTTGAAGGATGTCACCCATATCTGTTGTTCGTGGCATTCTCATTTTCAGAAAGCTAATTATCTGAAATGTCTCTTGTACACCAAGTACTGATGGATCAGCGATGTGAATCTCATCTTGATTGTCTCTTGTAATATTGACTAAAACAGATTTGGTATTACATAACATTACTGTTGAAGGAAGCTATCTGTTTTAGTATGTATTTAATGTTGAAATCAGATCTGTTTAAGTTTTAAGAAGTGCACTTTTCAGTTTCTAATGGTACAAATAGGTTAGAGTCCTAGTAGGAACCCAAAACAAATGGTAAATACCAAGTAATGAATTGTTGTCTTTTGCTTTGACAGTCGAGGATGCTCCCTTCTGTGTTTCTGCCATCTGCACAGAAAGATTGGTTTTCTGTCAAAGGAATAACAAAGTGCTACGAAATCCAACTAAAACAAGAAACGAATATTCCAGAAACTATTTGAATGTGGAGACTGTTCGCTTTCTCAGTGGCAAAGGATATAAAAAGAGAACCATACACTTATTTTCATAGTCTTATGTCTCTTTTCCAATCTCAGAGATACTAATAGAATAGAATTCAAGGATCAGAAATTAAGTTTCCTGGCAATTAAGGAAGCTAAATAACATGATCAATTCATGAGTGCAAAAGAAAATACTATTGAATAAACTGGAAAATAGAAGACAAGTGCGATTTAAAAAATTTCCAACTATACCAACTGGTCCGGTGACAAGGCTTCAGCAGTGCAACAAATATTGAAGCATTGTGCAAACTCTATTTAGTTATTTTACTCCCCAAAGCTAATCAATATAATCATAGATAGCTCGGATTCACCTCTCTCCTGAGCTGTTCAAGTAGATTAATCATCTTCGCATACAACTCTCGACTATTCTAAAATTTCATATTGTAGCATAAAACATACAAAAATTGATGAATTTTAAATCAATCACCAACTAAAATTGTCAGAAATTAGAGGATTTGTTGATGATGCAACTAAAATCAATGTCTCAATAAGAACGACTTGATCTCTTCACCAATTCACCAAATTTACAAATTGAAACAAAAATTCACAGCTCAGATTATGCGAAAATTGATTATGAATCACCAAATTTCCTCGATTAAACATTTTCACAGTTTTCTACACACGGAAGGAATCGAAGTAAAAGCAAAAACAATACGAATCTGCGAAACCTGTTGAATGTGTACGACGGGTTGAAAAAGACGATTTCAACTTCGTTTCCCGGTGAATTCAAGCTTTGGTCCCGAATCCCGATCGCTTGCTTTCGCTTTGCTTTTGTGTAAATATGGAGTGAATAGAGACTGCAGAGAATACGAGGGTCGAAATAATAATCCTTTCGCGCCTAAATTGGGTTTATATAGATGGACATTTAAGGGTATTATTGGTATTACATAATTAAGGAATTCTATTCAGGAATGTGCCAAAGAAGGAATTTAAATTGCCTTTCAGAAAATGTATTTAGCTGGAAAATTTGTTTTTAAGGACTAGGAGAAAAAATTACAAGCAAATATTGTCCACCTCTTTTATAAGCTCACATAAATATTCTTTTAATATCTCTTTTGTAATTCTAAAATCACAATAAACATCTATATCAATAAAATAACAGTTAATATGAGTTGTTTTTTTCCTAGAGAGAATCAATTAACCAATATAGTGGTTCAAAGAGCAATTTTATTATTTGCATATCTATTATATTGATTATCGCTAAATACATTGTTATTCCTGTCAAATTCCATGTAAAAATACTACTGCACTATTTTGTTATACAATGTCATTACTGTATTTAAAGTGTCAAATTTTATTTTATTTATAATCATATATTTTATTGTAGTGTACCTGTAAACTTGAACTAGTACTGTACTGTTCTTGTTTCATCCTTCAAATATATTTTATAGTAGTATTTATTACTCCTTCAATCTCTTTTTTACTTATTCAATTTTAACTTTTTATTTGTTATTTTTGACAAATAAAAAAATGATAATATTTTTTACGTACTATATCCTCAATTTATTTACAGAGTTAATGGTAATTTAATTTTGAAATTCTATGGATTAGTATGATTAAATAGTAAATTAACTAAATCAATTATTATTTTCTTAATATGTGTGTTAAGTAAAAAATGAACAAATAAATAGGAATGTTCTTTAATTTAATCTGGAAATAAGTTTAGGGTTTGGGTTTCAAAATTCAAAAGGTTCCCTCCTTTTCTTTCTTTGACAGTCTTCCCAACTCCACTCGCTGATGGAAAAAGCTGAGATTATAGTTGAAGGTTGCTTTTGATGAGTTTATTGCAAAGGTCAGTCAACTTTCATTTAGTATTTTAGTTTCCCTTCTTGTGGCTCAAATTTGGTTAGTGCAAACTAAAGAAGAAGGTAGCTTTACATACAGATTACAGCTCTCTGCATATTTCTAATTTCAGGTTATCAGACTTTGCATTTTGCGGATTGACACACCAAAGAGAAGGTCACCCAACAATGGAGACCATCACAACGTCTGAAAATTCAAACACCCATGTAAGTGCTGATAAAAATAACTGGAAACACACACAAAAAAAAAAAAAAAAGTGACTTAATGGGCAATGAAATGGGATGACAACAAGTTCAAAATCCCATCAAGTACATAAAAGAAAATACTAGGGTTGAGTTATCTTATACCTTTACTGGGTAGGAGGTAAGACATACACACTGCAAGAGTCAAGTTGCACCCAAGCTGACCAAACGCCTTAGTTATAAAAAATGGAACATTTTAAATATTATGTACTAATCCTTCTATCTCATTTTAATAGTGGTCGTAAAAATGATATGGTCTTTGAATGGAAATAGAGTTTAAATTGTTTATTAAGTTGGTATATTATATTAGTGATAACAAGAAAATTATTTAAAGTAATTGTTTGAGAGAGAACTATCAAATGAAAGTTCAAAACTTTCTTTAGTTTTATGAACTTGGATTATTAAAGAAATGTATTGCTCTTTGACATTTTGGATGGAAGAGAAGTGTGGAATAAATTGGGAAAGGGAGCAATATTCTTCTAAAGGCCTCATTAATTTAAAATATTATGTTTTAGTTGTTCAATAACTGTAAGCCTCCCATCAGAGAAAGTTATATTTTTTTAACTTTATGCTTGGTTGGTTAAACTAACTGGTTAAGCTCATTGTGTGTGTGTGTTTTTTTTTTTTTTTTTTTTTTTGTGGCTTGGGAGAGAATAATTATTCAGGTTCGTTATTGTGAAGTTGTATTCCTTTATTCGGCTCAATTGTTGTGAAGTTGGATTCCTTTATTCAGTTCAATTGTTGTGTAGTTGTATTCCTTTGTTTGATAAGTGGGTTGTCCTTGATTGGATTCTTACTTTTGTCCATCCTGAATTTTTGGTCCATGTTCACTTTTACTCAATTACATTTTTATACAAATTTGTGCAGTTTTATTTGTAGAAATTATTATGTAGTTTATTGTTTTATATTGTTTGTGAAATGATTATTCAATTTAATGCTGAAAATGGCTTTGACCAATGGTCGGTTTAACCTTTGAATGTCAAATGTGCACAAAGAATTTTGGCCAGAGGTGTTAGTATCTTCTCTAAATTTTTCTATATCTCTTACAGGCTTACACACGGCTAGATTTCCTTAATCGTGTCTGCCCTCATGGATTAGCCGTTAACAGCATTGGAATAAAAGTTGAAGGTCTTGAGGTGCGTCAATGCTGCTGGTCCTAATATTTATCCACTTGATATGAATATTATTAGCAGGTTATTACTTAGCTTCTGATGAAAAAATATCTGATTCACAGAAGGGAAAGAATCGCTATCAAGTAAAATGGCTGAGCTTGAGAAGGAGATAGAAGCTGCATTGAGCAAGATAACTCATCTTGAGAGGGAAGGAGAAGCTGCACTTCGTAAGATAGTCGCAGTAAAGAAGAAGAAACAAGCTGCATTGATTAAGATATACAAGCTTGAGAAGGAGAAAAAACGTACAGTTAATAAGGTAGCTTTGCTTGAGAAGGAGAAAGAATGTACAGTTAATAAGATAGCTTTGCTTGAGAAGGAGGGAAAAGCTGCATTCTGTAAGATAGCTACGCTTGAGATGGAGAAACAAGATACATCAAGTAAGATAGAGCAGCTTGAGAAGGAGAAAGAGGACGCAGCCAAGAAGATAGCTTTTCTTGAGAAGGAGCTAGAAACTAAGGAAGAGAAATTTGGAAAGTATATGAATGCTCAGCTTCAAAAGGAGGAGGAGCTAAGAACCAAGTTTGAGGATTTCAAAAAGCATACAAATGCTGAGCATAAGATAGAGAAGGACGCTGCAATGAGTAAGATAGCTATGCTTGAGATGGAGCAACAAGCTGCATCAAGTAAGATAGAGGAGCTAGAGAAGGAGAAAGAAGATGCAGCCAAGAAGATAGCTTTTTTTGAGAAGGAGCTAGAAACTAAGGAAGAGAAAATTGGAAAGTATATGAATGCTCAGCTTCAAAAGGCGGAGGAGCTAAGAACCAAGTTTGAGGATTATAAAAAGCATACAAATGCGGAGCATAAGATAGAGAAGGACGCTGCAATGAGTAAGATAGCTATGCTTGAGACGGAGCAGCAAACTGCATCAAGTAAGATAGAGGAGCTGGAAAAGGAGAAAGAAGACGCAGCCAAGAAGATAGCTTTTTTTGAGAAGGAGCTAGAAACTAAGGAAGAGAAAATTGGAAAGTATATGAATGCTCCACTTCAAAAGGAGGAGGAGCTAAGAACCAAGTTTGAGGATTATAAAAAGCATACAAATGCTGAGCATAAGATAGAGAAGGACGCTGCAATGAGTAAGATAGCTATGCTTGAGAAGGAGCTTGAAACTAAGGAAGTTAGAGCATATAAGCAAGCTATAAGAGCTTTAAGGGAGATCCAAGTTGAAGATAAAGAACCCAAGGAAAAGGTGAAAGAGTTGACAAAAACTATGCAAAAGCTCACCGAGGAAAGACAATATTGGGAAACTTTAGCTAAGCAGCTTAAGGGCAAGGAAAGTGAGACAACTGAGCTAGTAGAAGCTCGAAAAAAGATGATTAGTGTATGGGTCTTTGGACATTTTTTAAGCATAATTTTACTACAGCTATGCCTTAAGCATTATTCATTCTGCTAATTAGATCCGACATCAGGTTACTACTATGGTTTCTTTGCCAGGAAATATGCTTTTGATGCTCAGAATTAAGCAAATCTGCAGCATCTAAGCCAACAACTTTCTATCCTATATTTCTCTATTTCTTTTTTTCCTCAATCTGCATATATGTAAATTGGAGTCTATACCTGTCTGCTTAGAAAGCAATTTGAAAGCATTCAGTGTAGGATTTCATTCTGAAAAGTTCCCTAGGTCGAAACTCCTAAATCATCATTGACAATGGATATAGCCTCATGCATTTCCCATGAACCATCTAATTTCGTGTTTTACTGAAACATGGTTTAGTATGTTCCTCATGTATGAACTATGCACAAAGTAAATTCTAAATAACCAGCAATTCCTCAAGTATGTTGCAAGTTTTGTTGTCTGTTTATCTGATAGTCCTCTTGGGACTTACCAGCAATTATATTACTATTTGATGAAGAATTTGGTTCTCTTGTTTTACCTGGAAATTGCATGACTTTGAGGAATCCATTTCCTAGGATTTAGGTTGATTTTCTACTTCTATTTCATGGTTGGAAGAAGTACCCTAGCTATTAGCCTATTAATTCTAGAGGCTATGGACTGAGGTAACTCCTAAAATATGCACATAAGGTTTTAATCGTCTGATGTTTGATATAAGCATCTGTATGGAATTCTTACATTTATGTGCTTTGATAGTATAGTATGTATTTGGGAATTCTACCTGTTCTGACTGTCTACATGCAAGTACATGAACATTCTGTAACAGGTACACTTCATCTCAAATGAGGATGTATTAGCGGTTGCAGATCAAATTTTTTGTAGGTATTTAAGAGTAGTGTGGCTCTTGTAGGCACTAACCATTGCAGAATACCTGTTTATTGGTCTGTTGCCTTACCACCATTTGCTTGCAGAGTATTGTCTTTGCTTGTCTGTGGGATTTTTTTGTTTTCTGCATCTGTGGACTCCTCCCTTTAGATGGATGATGTGGTTGAAAAGATTCAATGACGTGAGTGTCACCACTAGGAAAATGTGTTGCAAGAAAAACATGTATAAACTGTCACCACTGTAAGATTGTGTTAAAAGTCAAAGGGTCTATCTGTGTTAAAGAATGACAAAAGTCCCACATCGGTGGTTTATGAGATGGGTGGACTCCTTACAAGGCTTAGGCAATCCTCCTCCCTTTGAGCTAGCTTTTGGGGTGTGAGTTAGGCCTAAGACCTAATTTAACATGGTATCAAAGCAGGGCCCGTCTCACCCGATGTTGGGGCCCCCAAAATCAAAATTGCCCACGCACCAGATGCTAAGCACTGGGCGTGAGGTGGGGTGTTAAAGAATGACAAAAGTCCCACATCGGTGGTTTATGAGATGGGTGGACTCCTTACAAGGCTTAGGCAATCCTCCTCCCTTTGAGCTAGCTTTTGGGGTGTGAGTTAGGCCTAAGACCTAATTTAACAATCTGTTTATCCAATATTGGTTCTATTGATGACTATGTTAGTGAAACACTTCTCTGACTTGTGTAGCTTTTCTGGATGTAATTTCTTCAAATACATGAATTGCTAGGGTTTGCACTTGTAAATCAATATGGAAACACCTTATTCATTCACTTTTCCATTCTGAATTTATGAGATAATGACTGAGTTGTTTTCTTTCTTTTTCAGGTTCTTTCTGAGCTGAACTATGACGATGTGGATATTGGCATAAAAAAATTTGGTGCCATTGATAGTTGTCCTTTTCGCACTGCATGCAAGCAGAAATTCTCTCATCAAGTTGCCGAGGAAAAAGCGACAGAATTGTGTTCTATATGGCAGGCAAATGTGGAGAACCCCAAATGGAATCCATTCAAAACTGTCATCTTAACTGGGGAAGTTCAAGCAGTATCTATCTGAATCCTTTCTTCTTCCCTCTTACCTGTTTAAGCTTCAATTTTTGTAGAGAAATATTCAATTTGTTGTTGCTTGTCAAATGAAATGAAAATTTTTGGTTTCTTAATTTCAGAAAGTCAAGTGATTCATGTAGTCAAATGATGCAATAAACACACCCCTTTCATAATAAATTAGTGAAACGGGCAACAAAATGATTATGTTCAAACTGATTTCTCTAGTTTCTATGGTCTAATTAGCAAACATCTTGTTATTGATACAATTCATTCCTCTGAAGTTATTCTCTCCTTACGTGGAATTCTAACTCAACTGTTTATCTGATGTCCCCTCCAAAACATTTGCAACTGAACTCTTTCTACTTTAAGTTACATGAAAATTCAATCCTAATAACCATTATTTGTGCTTCAGGAAACAGTAGACCAAGAGGACAAGCATCTCCAGCAACTGAGGAAAGAGTGGGGATATGAAGTATATTTAGCTGTTGTTATAGCCTTGAAAGAAATCAAAGAGTATAACATGAAGAAAAGAACTACGACGCATCAGCTTTGGAATTTCGAGCAAGGTAGGAAAGCTAAGCTAGAAGAAGCCATTTGTTTAATGGAGGAAAAACTGACGGAGGCAAAGATCAAAGATACAGGTGTGCCTTAGTGTCTTATACTCTTATATTTATGCAATTGCTGTATTCTCCTTCAGCTTGTAGGTTCAAGTCAACCTTGCATATGCTCTGAGTGACCATTTACTTGTTAGTGGCCAGATAAGATCAAGAGGAACATCAAAACATATTTTTTATAATGATGCCAAGTATGTGGTAGCAAAATAAGAGAAAAGTACTAAGCTTTGTATTATAAATGAGGGGGGCGGGGGGGTTAGATTGTTCAAAGATGGCAATTATTCCATCTTTTCTTTTTTCAGATAAGGACAAGGGCTTAGTGAATGTTCTTCCCTCTGCCTCTTGCATTATGAATGAGAAACTAAAATCACTTTTTTTAGATGATTGCCAAAATCTATTCTGATCATAAAATTTCAACCTATCTAGGAGCAGAATTCTAGGCCAGCACGATCTACACTTCAGATAAAGTTAGAGGAAAAATTGAGTTAAAGATTCTTATCCCAATGAACATGCCATAATTTTGTTTGTTGTTTGATTGCCCTATTTATATATGAATTTTGTTGGCCATATTATTATATTTAAAAAATGAGATACTACAGGGTGATGACATGAGTTGAGCTTAAATGGAGAAACATGTTCCGTGAGGCGTGAGAGTTCATATAGCCGACCCCAACTTGTTTAAGACTAAGGTGTAGTTGTTTTAGTGGGATACTACAGGGGGGAGTACTGTGTATGAAATAGATCAGTAGCGCCATGTTTAGTTTTTTTTTATTGATTAAAGATCATTAGAGACCAGGATTGTAGTCCCTATGGAGACAAAAAAGTTGGGTGATTTATTCTAATTTGTTTATGGTTTGGTGGCCAAAGTTACCTGGTATTGTACTGGTGGAAAGATGGAGGTACCAGTGGAGAGTCAAGGTTCGCATAAGTGACCTGAACAGTGACACAACCATTATCATTTTTTTTTGTTCAAAATGCTCATGCAACTCCTTTCCCTCCATGTAGGAAAACCACTGGCCTACAATAATGTATGTGTGGGTTTTAGGTGCCTTCCTTGATATCTTTGAAAGAAAATAGTATGTCTTTGTTAAATACTACAGAAATATATGAGAAGTATGCATCTCTCTAGAAGGAACATATGAAAAGTATGCATTGGTGTAATAAAGATATATGAAAAGTATGCATTTTTGTAATAAGTCACAAGTTTTCTACTAGGATTTGTGAAGGTGGATGAGTTGAAGCCAGGGACAGAGGGCATTAATCTAATTGTTAAGGTCCTAAATACTGATGTGGTGGTTGACAAGAGCGAAGAGCATCAGTCCCTACCGTCATACCACTATTCTCCTTTCCGAATCACACGTGTAGCTGAGAGTCTAGTTGGAGATGAAACCGGAACTATCATATTAACTACTCGTAACGAACAAGGTAATGTCATCTTCTTTTTCTCTATTCTTTCAGTTGCCTTCATCTAGCTCCATCTTTTCTTTCTTTTTGTATCCCCGGTCCAAGATTGCTCCATCTAGCTCTCCACTATCAAGGAACCATAAATGATGGTCACAAAGTTAATGCTATTTGCATAATATCTATTGCTTATGCTTATGATAGCTCTGGTTTTGTCATGTAGTTGACTTAATGACGCCAGGCAGCATCCTACTTCTTTATGGTGCAAAAATCCAAATCTATCGAGGTTTCTTGAGGTTAGCTGTAGAGAATAAGATGCAAATCAAAGTTGCAGAACCTATGGAGTTTCATGTAGATGATGATGAAGATTGCAATTTGTCTTTAGCTGAGTATGACGCAATCCGAAAATATTGATGAGTTCTACACTATTCAACACTTTGGACTTGCAGGACTGCTCTGCCCTAAGAATGCCTTGGTGTATATGTTTGGTTCTTTTTGCACAGAAGCTCATTGTATCATTGATTGCCCAAAAGGCTATTAGCTTGTGTCGTTTTAATGATAGAATTTCAAAATCGCATTCTTGTTCTCTGGCTCTCAGCAGCGCGCCTCCTTCAAAATGGGGAGGAGATTATAATGTAGGGAATCAAATCATCACCATTCAAGTAACCAACCAACTGAGCTACTAAGATTCCCTACTATTCGAAGTATATGTATTTTCCTATGTTAATTTAATGGATGGTGACCATTCATCACTTTACTGCAACTATTTTGCAATGCAAAAATCACTTTACTTGAATATTGTTGACATTCAAGAAGGGCTAAAACATAACAACAAGACAATGAAGTGTTCACGCGTGGTACATTTATTTTCAAAAGAGGAGCTATTCGGTGTTAATGTACTCTCCTTTCACTTTTATTTGTCCACAATATATTTAACACACTTTTTATAAAATAAAAAGTCAAGTATATATTTTATTATAATATTTGTATTAATTGATGTATAGTTTTTAATATACTCAAGAAATGATTTGAAACGAGTAATTTATGTTAAAAGGTAAACTCAAAAAAAAAATTGTCTCTCTCTGTGCTAAATTGGAAGAGTAAAAAATGAATTTAATTTTAGTATTGTGAAAAGTAGAAATGAACTTAGTTCAACAATTATTTTATAGTAATAGTAGTTCATATGTCAAGTGTCTTCACGTGGTATCAAATTAAATTAAGCCACATCTTTAATTTGCTCTTGTGAGCTCCACATAAATTTCTTGTTGAGGGTTTCTAATTAAGACCAACCTCTTCTTTCTAATATTAACCACAGCTTTCTCTAGTGTAATATAAATGAATTGTTAATTCCTTTTAATGAATTTCTCAAAGTTCAAAAATGTATTATTATTATTTTTAAATTACCGTTCTTTTTAATGAAATTACTACTTTTAAATCCAAATAATTACTCTCTCTTCTTTCTTTTCTTTTTTTTAAAAAAAGAATTTGACAAAATCAAACGAATAATATTAAATAGGCGTTTGGCTATGCGATACCATATCACGATATAGTATCGTGAGATGGAATCAGCGTTTGGACATGCGATTTTATGCTGATTCCATCTCATAATTTCATATCATGAGATGTGATTCCATATTCTCCAAAAACCATGATATGGAATTATATGGTAATTCCATATCATGATTTGAGATATTTTAATACAAAAATTGATCTACGAGTTTATATTTTGTTAAAACAACCCCACATTTATATCTACTAACTATTTATTTCATATGTAAATAAAATTTATAATCATATCATTACTTTTTAAAATTTATTATTCTCACCGACATAAAATTTATTATTCTCACCAACATATAGTCACTTTAACTCACACAAATCGATTGTTAAAGCGATGAATTTTTTATGGTCTATGAACATGAAATTATAGTTGTGGATGATATTGACCAACAAATGGCTCAAAGTAACAATGATGATTCGTCTTATAGGTCACATGATTAAGAAATACAAGTTCAACGTGAGGAAATTGTATGTACTATGTGGGAGGACTAGTACACTACAATTTATGTTCAATTTTTTTTATTAAATTAAAGTTAGATGAAACAATTACTTAGTTTTGTAAAAATTTATTATGAGATTTTATAAATTTTTGTTTATTTGATAAGATTGAATAAACAATTGGGGCTATTTTAATAATTTTACAACTTATGAAATTTTTTATGTTTATCAGAAAATATACAACACAAAAATTTCATATCGTATGTCCAAACAAAATTTTAATTTCATCTCATAATACCATATCATGATATCATATCGCATGGTCAAACGGGCCCTAAAGATATTATAATGAATGTGGGTCACACACCCCCAATAATTCATTAGATTGGACCAGAGGAAGTAGTTTGAAAGAGCAGTGGTAGTACTGGGGCAATGAAAATAGTAAATTCTCGGGAGTCGTGCAAGGCTTAGATCTGCCATTGAAATTGACAAGTTCTTCAGTAGTAGCTGGGATCTTGAAAAGAAAGTAAAAACCAAACAACTCCAGTATTGAATCAGAAGAAAGATGGCCTGCATTAACAAAGGATGGGAGGTTGTAAGTAGAAAAATCAGGAGCTGTTTGAAAAGGAAAAAGGGGATCGAGAACAGAGACAAGAGCATAGCTGAAAGATGGGAGATTTTAAGTGGAAAAAACAATTGGGAAGGATTACTTGACCCTTTGGATTATGATCTACGACGATACCTTATCCACTATGGCCAAATGCCTCAAGCCATCTACGACTCATTCAATAATGAGAAAGTTTCAAAATACAGAGGAACAAGTCGATACTCCAAAAAGAACCTCTTCATAAGGGTGGGGCTCCATAAAAACAAATATGAAATCACCAAATATTTCTATGGAGCTTCAAGTAAAACTGAAAAGGTCAAAGTATCAAATTGGATTGGGTTTGTTGCTGTTGCTACTGATGAAGGTAAAGTTGAATTAGGGAGGAGAGACATTTTAATTGCTTGGAGAGGGACTATAACTGTCTCGGAATGGAATGATGATTTCGAATTTTCCTTGGTCCAACCAATTGAAATCTTTGGAGAAAATGCGGATAACATTCTTGTACACAAAGGTTTTTATTCAATTTATACTTGTCTTGATGAAGCTTCAAATTTCAATCGGACAACCAGTGCTAGAGATCAGGTAGGACTTTTTTCTTTTTATATCAAGCAACTTTGCAGGTGATACTCATTAAAATTCCCTTTTGTATTTGGTCATTCAAACAGGTTCTTGAAGAAGTTAAAAGGTTGTTGGATCAATACAAAGAGGAGGAAGTTAGCATCAGTGTTACAGGCCACAGCTTGGGTTCATCATTAGCCACACTATGCGCGATCGACATAGTTGTCAGCCAAGTCAATAAGGGGTTTCCAGTAACTGCATTTTTATTTGCTAGCCCACGAGTTGGAGAGGCCAATTTCAAGAAAGCTTATCAAAATTTGAAAAACTTGCACATCTTGCGGATTACCAATGCATCTGATTACATTACGAAGCTGCCAGATCGTGGACAGGTGGAGGGTTCTGAAACAGATTGGAGAGTGTATGAAGATGTTGGCTTTGAACTTTCAATTGATACTACAAAATCAGACTACTTGAAGAAAGAGATAAATGGTCATATTTTGGAGGTTTATTTGCACGGAATCGCTGGAACACATGGATCAGAAGGAGAGTTCAAGTTGGAGATAAATCGGGATACTGCTCTTATGAATAAAGCAGATGATGTGTTGAAGGATAAATATGGTGTACCAGTGTCGTGGTGGACCGAGAAGAATAAAGGAATGGTTCAACACGAAAACGGATCTTGGATTCTTATGGATCACGAGGATGACGACAATTAGGAATATTTGGCAGGATGTATGAGAATTGTGTTAATATGGTGTAATATTGGTAATACTGACATTAGCAATACTAATGTTAGTTATGATTACCTTAGATACCTTGAGATTATTTATCGTGTTTAATTTGATATATTAAAAATAACATGCATATTTTCAAAAAAATAAATTATTTACTTATAAACAGATAATCCGCACAATAAAAAGATACCCTAAAAAGATGTTGAAAAGGCTTATCAAATTATTTTAAAAAAAATTAAAGATAAGGTTTATCAAATTAAGTCTTCTACTACACATATTTTATCAAATTTGTGCGGATTAAGAGGGATTGAATCCATTTAATTAACGATCATAATAAATCTGTCAAAAAATTAATTTGAGGTTCATGATTGATGTCAAATTAGTCAGAGTAGTGGGTCATAGCCCTTTTATCTTTTCTTCTATTTTCTTGTGGCAGTACAGATGCATTAATCATGAGTAATGACTATCAGTTAACCTTTTTTTTTTTGTTTGGTTAAAATCAATTAAGTTTTTTTGTACAAACAAATAGTGACAAGAAATTGATTGAAAATATATAGTGGGGCATTTGGCCAGGAAAACTAAAGAAAAAAGGATTATTTTATAAAGAATTTGAAAATTGAAGTTATGTTTGATTATATTTTTTTTTTGTAAAAGTTATTTAGAATTTGAATGTATTTTTTTAAAATATAATTTATACCTCCAATTTTCAAAAACTAGAAATATCATCCAATTCGACCAATTCATCTGAAATATATCATTAAATTCTAAAAGAATAATATCTCAAATTAATAGTTACATAATAGTATAGATTAGATCTCATATATGAACTATTACATACTATTGTAATATTTTTTTAATTTGAAATTTTTGAAGTTAGAGTTGAGTTTGATTATAATTTTTGCAAATAATATTTAGTTATTTGGATGTTACTATTCCTAAAATTATGAAATATAACTTTAAAGGGAAAATTACGCATATAAGCAAACATATATTAGTTAATTAGCTAACATAGTTATAGTTTGTCTTAATTATAATTCGCGATCTACTTTTAGCTATAATTACGCGGCTCAACTTTTTAGTTTTGTATAATTCGAAATTTGTATAATATAATTGGTATAACTTTTGTATAATTCGGAATTTGTATAATATAATTTTTATAACTGTTTACACTTCTGATGTTTGTAATTGTATAAATTCGTTATTTCAAGTTTATACAAAAATAACTGAATTATACAAATGTACCCGCGAATTATACAAACCTGCGAATTATACAAATTCGTGAATTATACTGTAGCTACAGCTCGTAAATATGTAAATTATAGCTATGAAGCATAATTAAGTTTATTATAATGACTATTTGCGAAAGTTCCCAAATTTAAATGAGTTGTTTTTATAAAATAAAATATTGAGGGTAAAAATTTTAAAAGAAAAATAAAATAAACGTGAAAAAATGAAAATTGTTTTCCAATTCCTAATATGTAACTCGAAGTTAAATTTGAAAATTTTCATGATCAAAAGTTTGATTTTTTAATTCAGTGAAATATTTTTTTGGAAGAAAGTGAAAAAATCTTATAGCAAACAGATCCTAATATACTTTCTGCCCCTTATTTAACGTGACACTTTAACTTCTCAAAGGTCAAACGAGAATTTTTTTATCCAATTTACTCGTACGTTATTTAAATATTTTAAATGATTAATTATTATAACTTATAATACTTTTATGTATATTAAAAATGTTTTAAATTTTTATTTTTTTTTAAGATCATATTGTAGACAATAAAATTTCGTGTCGAGAAAACAATAATCAAGAACGGAAAATTATGCAACAATCATTTTATTATTTCAAGTGCGAGTGTTACAATCTCTACGATTCCTCTGAATTAGCCTTTTCAAATAAAATTCAAGGGCTCTTGACTTGGACTTGGACTTGGACTTGAACTTGATCTTTACTTAAACTTTATCTTGATCTTGATCTTGATTTTCTAAGTTGAATTCAAGGGCTTCGAGCTTGATCTTGAATCCGGTGATCTTGATCTTGATCGTTCTTGAACTTGATCTTGACTTCTTCAAATCTTGAACTTGAACACTTGAATTCTCAAATTCTTGAACTTGTAGAGAAATTGCGGTTTTTGATCCACGAGCTTTCTCTAGCTTCTTCACCATCTTCTTTCTAATCGGTTGCTCACATGATTCTTTTCGTAAGCTGGACTTGTTGCGTCTTCGCCTAGTCACAAGAATCCAGTCTTTATCACTATCTATATCAACTTGAGATTTGTCTAGCTCCAATGACTCTTCTTCATGCTTTTCAGCGATACATATTTGGACCCAATCGAGTGAGCCGAATGTGATAGAGATTTGATTAGAACTAGTTTTCTCATCATCAAAGACAATCTTCTTTTCTCTATCCAATCGCATCGCTCTATCCTTGAAGACAAAATATTTTTCAAGAGTATGACTTACAAGTCTATGATACTTGCAATAATTTGGATCATCAGCTTTTCCAGCTTCATCAAGCCGCTTCATCTCTGACAACTCATTGAGCTTTAGTTCAAGTAACTCATCAAAAATATCAAAAACGTCAGAATCCAAGAAGGGGTATTCCGTTTCTTGCATTTCCCTTAAGATCAATTTTTGGTCTGAACGCGCTTGGAAATTCGTTCTCACACTTTGCTTGTTCCCTTCCTTCGTAGTGAACTTCACAGGCGACACATTAACATTCATTGACTCTTTGTTGTCGTTCTTGGGCACAAATTTGCTCCATCTCTTAGGTTCCTACTTGTCTCTTCCTTTGCGAGGGTCATAGACAAACGTCATATCCTTTCCGACAGAGGACATGCTCAATTCCATATCATGAGTACAAGTAGCTAGATCTTCAAAGGATTTTGATCCCTGTAAGATATAAAGAAGCTCCCAGTGCATCCCTTAGATACACATTTATATTGCAAAAGCTTCACAAAGCTTATCCTTGCTATTCAGGCTCGCGTTTCTCCATTAATTTATGAAGTCTATGGCTGGTTCATCCTTCCCTTGGCGAGTATTCGTAAGTTCTACCATGCTCATAGTACGCCTCGTGCTATAGAATCGAATAAGAAACTCGTGCTCTAGTTGCTTCCAACTATCAATAGAATTGGGCTCAAGATCCGTGTACCAATCAAAGGCATTTTCTTTTAGAGACCGGACAAACTGCTTGACAAGATAGTCTCCATATGTTCCAGCATTATTACATGTCTCCACAAAGTGTGCAATATGTTGCTTCAGATTTCCTCTACCCTCAAATTGTTGAAATTTGGGAGGTTGATAACCAGAAGACATTTTTAAGTCATCAATTCTTGCAGTGTATGACTTGACATACATACGAGAAGACTTGGTGGAGACTTCATACTTATCTTTGATAGTGCCTTCAATGAACTCCTTCAAGTAATCGAGTGAGATCATTCCTTCAGAAGAAACTGACAGCTCATTAACAAGTGGTGCTTTCTTCGCAGGATCTCTAATCTCTTGAACTTCAAAACATTTTTCGGGCGCATGACTTGTTTCTCCATCTAAAAGTCCTTTAATTTGATCCATCAACTTATCGATTCTAGACTCTTGGTGTTGTACATGCTTTGTCAATCCTTCAACCAGCTTCGTCAGATTTGTGAGTTGTTCCTCAGAGGAAGAAGCAACAACCACCATTGTTTGCATGATCGTTGTTTGCGACACTGCGTAAGTTGATCTTCAGTGGACTCACATTACGCGATGCATATGGAGGTGATTCATTCGTTGAATCATAGCTCTCCCTTGTAGTAGAGTTTTTGGAACCAGATTGCTCAAGGAAAGCCAATGTCTTCTTGATTTTTTTAGCAACGCTGCTTTCTCTTTCTAAAACGTTTACGGCGGAACTCGATCTTTTTGGAGTCGTAGACCCAAAAACTGGAGTTAATGCGGATGACACTTGAAGTGTTTGTTGTCCTAGTGTAGCAGTTTTGCTTCTCGTAACAGCTCCGAAACTTCCAAAGGTAACAACCAGAATGCCTTCAACTTCAGTAGAGAACTTGGAGCTAATGGCCTTAGAGGCAGTTGATCGAGAGTTGTTCTTCATGGAAGTCAACTCAATATTCTTTGATGCTTGAAAAGTTGAGATGATAGGTAGAAATTGTCCCACTGGGCGTGCCAGAATTTGTAGACAATAAAATTTCGCGTCGAGAAAATAATTATCAAGAACGGAAAATTATGCAACAATCGTTTTATTATTTCAAGTGCGAGTATTACAATCTATATGATTCCTCTGAATTCACCTTTTCAAATAAAATTCAAAGGCTCTTGAGCTTGATCTTGAACTTGGACTTGGACTTGATCTTGATCTTGACTTTCTAGTTGAATTCAAGGGCTTCGAGCTTGATCTTAAATCCGGTGGTCTTGATCTTGATCGTTCTTGAACTTGATCTTGACTTCTTCAAATCTTGAACTTGAACACTTGAATTCTTGAATTCTTTAACTTGTAGATAAATCGCGGCTTTTGATCCACGAGCTTTCTCTAGCTTCTTGTTCGAATTCTTGGTTCTCTATTCTGAATTATGAGGACCTCTATTTATAGTTTTAAAATAGGGGAGTTGTGATTGGAATAGGATTCCCTTCGGCCAATCAGATTTAAGTGACATGACATATGGGCTTTATTGAGCGGGCTTTAATTAAATTCATATTTATTGAATTTAAATAATTAACTCAATTATATCAATCCATAATATTTATTTGGATTAATATATTAATGAATTTAATATAATCCGAATCATTTTATAAATTTATATTTAATAAATTTTAAATGATTACACATATGTTTGAATTTATGATCAAAATAAAAAAGTTATCTCTTAAAATTTAAATCATATCACATAAATTGAGATGGATTAGTTTGAAAAATAAGTAAGTAGTGATTCTGAGAGCTAGCCAGTTAAGTTACCAATGAATCCGATGTATGAGGACTCAATTGAATGCGTTGATTT